ACTACGTGGGCTCGCCTGCATCCAAGACTTGTTTTATCCAAAGAACAGGGCTTCGCCAACATACACAATATGAGCTATGTTTCGTTAAGAATGCGTTTCGTCCATCATTCTAGTTGCCCTCGGTTTGGTGAAAGTATAATTTATACTATAAGAAAATTAATTTTCTATTTAGCGTATTTAATATAATATTTAAAATATGTTATTAAAATAAATGACAGATGAGTATTCACCAGATGATTTTATAGTAATATTTTTAAACCTATTTTAAGGCAACAACTAAATTTAATTGTCAAGACGAGACTTTTATAGAGTCGTAATCTTTAAGTATTTTACTAGTCATTATTAAAAATTATTATAATGAATTTAAAAAAAGAAGCTTTTACTCTTATTATTATTTATAAAATGTTTATGCTTTTGTATGAATTTGTTAATAGAGAGAATACAATAAATTATATAGAAATTATTAAACTAAATAATGATTATTATGTTTATTAAAATTATTTTTAATATATTTAAAACCATCAAATATCTCACATGCATATTATTTATCAAATATCTCGAGCACATATATTATGAGAAACTGTACTGCACCGATCTAGAAGAAATAAAACTCTTTTTTATAATTTTTTATAAATAATTGTAATATTAATAAGCTTTTAAAAAATTACCCCATTTAAAGTGGTAATTTCTTTTTTATTTCATGAACAACAACACATTATTAAATCTTAAATCCTATACTATAATTTAAATCTTTAGGAGTATAACGTTTAGTCGCACTTTTTTTATGGTTCAATCATTTCTATTTTAATGATATACTATAGATTAAAAATAATATTAGTAGGTTGAGTTTCTCCCAAAAAAAAAAAAATAGATATTTATTATTTTATAATTAATTATTTATGTTTCAGAATAAACTTTTTTTATTATTTTATTTTTTTTACAATTTCACAATATTAACAAAATCGCTTTAAGTATTTAATGTGTTAAATTTTTTTTATTGTTTATATAATTTTAAATGTTGATTTGAAAATTATTCAAGTAAAAGAGTACAAGCTAGTTAAATTAAATAAATATATATAGCCTGAAGTCAACACAAAACCTTAAACTTATAGATTAGGAAGATGACATGATATTATTAAATAATGCTTCGTGTTATGATACAAACAGTCTTACTACGATCTTACGTAGAGTCCTAAGCATCCTTGCCAAACCAGTAAAGAAAATATGTCAAAAGAATCATTTTCCAACTTAACACGTTATGGATTAAACACAAAAAACTCAGGGTTCAAAATTATCCTTCCACTAATAAATTGTTGAGAAAGCGTATTAAAATTTAAAAAAGTAATATTTTTTGGATGAACTAGACATCATTATCAACCAACTTTGTGATAAGCACTACACTATCTTCTTAGTCACAAATTAAGTTGAGGAGTAAGTTTAACTTAAATGCTTCTATTGTCCTACATTATGAAATTAAAAACCTACTGATTTGTACTGAAGACGGATTGATTAAGCGTCATGGCTCTCTCCATTAATTTCATCAGGAGCCATTAAAAAAAAGAGCCACACCGATTATAGCATTATTTCAATTGAGAGGAGCTATAGTCAGAAGGTTGAATTTGAAGAACTAGTTTATATTTTATGAGATAAAGCATTTACAAAGTCCCTGTTATATCTGTTACATTAGTCAAGCAAAGAAGCCTTGGGAACTATAGCCGCTTGGTATTAGCGTTATACCACAACTTTCCAGGAAGGGAGATTGGTAACAATGATTGAGTCATGTAGAGAATTTGTTACAATGACTAAAATAGTAGGAGGGGATTAGAAATTTTTTATTTTTTATATATTGGGGAATTTTTTTTAAATATAATGTTTAAATTTTTATGATTTGTTTTATTTGTTTTATTATTTTATATAAAAATAAATTTAAACCAATCTCCCCTCATTAATAATACCTCTCGATATACACTATCAATCCCCTCACTGCACATTTGAACTTCGCTATTCACGATACATATTCCCACCCCAGACTCACTAACAAATCCCTCAAACTAATTCATGACCCCCAGGATAGGCTGAACTATCTAATCAATCTCCTCCCATTCAAGTTCTCCACGTCAAAACATAATACGGGCCCCTAGTGCAACTTTATCGAATCTGTTTTCACAATTAATGTATCCTAAAGACCTTATGACACACACACAGATTTTTAGATCAACATAAGTTATGTTTATCATACATATATCAATTGTTTCATGGAACCACCACAAAATAATGTTTCCTCACATAATTAATATTGCCGGGGACTACAAAGTTACGAGTTTCCTCGAAATCATAAAAACCAGATTTATTAGATAACGAAGTGCCCAAACATGGACTACTCAGAACAAACTGGTCTTGAGAGCGCCCATGTTTTGATTACAACCTACACTAATGTTAGGAGGCCTCATAATAAAAGCGCATATTAAGTACACTAAAGTGTGAGTTCGCATTAGTTATACCCCCACCCCTACCCACCATATCTAATAATACTACAAATTGTTGATAATATCAGTTGGATTAATAATCCTGAAACCAAAGTCAAAAAACAAACATAGGATGATTGGGCCACGGATTATAATCTCAAAAAATCCCTATCTTTAAATTCCTTCCAATCAAAACATGCCCTAAGAGATTAGGGTTTACCAGAAGTTCTTTTTGTGGTTTTTTTTTATTTGTGGTCTTTTTTTTAAGAATTATTTGATTGGTATCTCATTAATTTAATAAAAAAAAAAGATACAATAATAATAAAAAGTATAACAGTAAAAGTAAATATTTATTTTGGGAGAATTTAGGAAACCCTGACTTGTTTGCCTAAGGCCACGTGTCTGTCATCACCGAAGTTGCCTCAGCTCGGGAACTTGGATACGATTGGGGAAGGTCAGCTATGAGCATCCCCCCTCGCCCGATCCGAAGATCGGCCTCTACTAACCATGATATCTAGTTTTGAAAACTTTATGTGCCCTTAAACCGGTTATTAGCCTAGAATTACTATGTGATGCGCACAACACAAAAGTATAGACCAGATCGCTTTATTTGGAACAAAGCATTGCATATCCGCTCGTTTGAAACATGGTTTGAAATTTGCTACTCATAAGTAGGCTAAAACACGGATTTCAACGAGTTGTTCCAACTCAAACAATCCAACCTTCACCCACAGGCATTTAGGCAGTTATATCATTTAAGCACATAGCCTCATGGTAAAGCATGTTGATATGGCAACACTCACACGCATGCAAGGATGCTAAAACATAAATGCTTACCGAGTACTCCAAGCCAAAACAGAAACTAGTTAATAATCATATGCATGATCCTAGTTCATGTTAAGATGGCTAATGCAACACATGTAAGATGCAACTACAATAGGCTCGGCTATTCTAAGATGGCATATGATGATGCTACAACTAACACGTATTCAACTTGGAACTGAAATATAATGTAGTTAGTATGATGCGCCGAGCCCGGTGCATGCAAGACAAATGTATGGATGCACGCATTCATAGCATAAGGTATGCTAATTTAAATATGCCCTAATACTAACTATTGAAAGCAGGTAAGCAAAAAGGAGAAAAAAGTGGGGGTTGGAAGACATACACACACTCATACACACTTATTACATAATTGCCCTCACTCGGAGGGTCTGAATAAATATTACAAAACAAATAGATAATTAGCTTTTCTAACTAATTAAGTATTACATATCTTTTATTTAATTAACAAATTAAATGCGGAAAGAGGATGGCCGCAGCCCCGCCTCGGAATGTTAGGATGATGCATGCTTGACTCGCCCCGCCCGGAAACCCGTGCCATGCCACTGTTGCCTCTGTTTACATTGCCTTGCTCCTCTGAAAATTCTGAAAGTCCCCAGACCCATTTTGAAACACCCTCTGAGTGCTCTAGGGGGTCACCGGCCACAATTCAAGTACACCGGCCATGGGGATGAATTTATCGGCCAAAAGTTACACCACCGGCTGGATATTGATGGTCGGTGAGAGGGTGATTTATGCTCCGGTGTTGGGCCGAGGTATAGACCGAACAAGTTGAGGGCCCAGCAGAGCATTGGGCCGAGATGATCGACTGTGCACTCGGAAATGGGCTACCAGAAGTTGGGCCGGGCAGAGTTTGGTCTGTGAGCTGCCCCGGACCGTGCAGGAGCTGCTCGACCAGGAAGTGACCGGTCAGGCTAGGATGCTCGGTCCGAGGATTGTCGAGACCAGACAGACCGAGAGGCCGGCGCTCGGAAAGGCGCGGTCAGCCGAGGTAGTTGATTGACCGGCGAGAAGGCCGACCAAAGGAGGAGCCCGGGCTAAGCTCTGCCGAGATGCCGCCTAGCCCGGTCCTTCATTCGGTTATCCGGTTAGGCGCTTAAGGTATGAAGCATGGTATGACCGAGGTAGGGCAGCTCGGCTGCCGAGCTCCAGCTATGCTGACAGGCAGTTGAGAGCAGGTGATGAACGGCATGGTTTATGCTGACAGATGGGATAGCAGAGCCACGTGTCAGGAGATGACAGGGAGTGGATATGGGGCTCAGAAGGTATATAAGAATGTCTGCGCCCCCCATACGCAACACACGAACATCTCTGTAAGAAATTCTTACACACAAACTCTCCCCCTTCTCTATATTCCTTCTAAGGTGTGTGCTAACTTGATCGTCGGAGGGTTTTTCCGGCCACACACCGCCGGGTAGCTCACAAGCTGCAGGACGTTTGGTCGGAATGATATATGTTCTGACCACTGTGTCAAAAAGGGGTGGCATGGGATAAGCGTGGATCACAGTTACCATTTGCTACATGTGAGATGGTGCTTCAGAAAACTTGGCTTCTTTGTGAAGAGCCGGTAGTCATGGATCAGTGTCATTCATTTCTTCCAATCACAATCACGATTTGATATGGTTTAATCTTGTTTTCTTTTCATATCCTCTATTATATATTTTGGTTGATCTTGCCTTATTTATGTGTTTGTCCAAATTGCATAAACTTATGACAAGTTAGGATTTAGTACGCATCTTGCATGCCGGGTCAGTCTTGACTCTTTGATTTTGAATGACTTGCAGGCTCTAAATGCACGCTCTCGAGCTATCCTTATGCAGAAGTTGGATCGTAGTGGCACTGCTCCAAGGTTTGGGTTTGCCAAATATGTAATTGCTTTTATAAATTAATAATCTGGTTGATCTTATGTCATCCTTCATTTCCAGTGTTGCTGGTTCTCTAGGCACACCTGTCGTCAGTAGCCCCGGTCTTGCATTGCCAACAGCACCAATTCTTGGTGCTGCACCTGCGGTTCCTTCCCTTGTTAGTCCTCTTGTACAGGCTTGTGTTCCTGCACTTGCGGGATTGCCAGGTGGAGGTCTTTCAATTCCCCCTGTAAATGTTCCTTCTGTTGATACCATAGGTATTCCAAGTGAATGTTTATTGTTGAAGAACATGTTTGATCCAAAATTAGAGGTTAGCTTGCAAAGTTTTTTTTTTATTATTATTTTTTTTTAATTTTTAACAAGATTTGTTTTCTTTCTTCTGTTACTGGCCATGCTTAAACCATATCATATTTCGCAGACTGAGCCAGAGTTCGATCTGGATATTAAAGAAGATGTTCAAGATGAATGCTCAAAGTTTGGTGCACTTAAACATATATATGTTGACAAGTAAGAATCTGTACGGTTTATTTTTTCGCCAGTGATGAGAATCCTTGGGTTTTCAAAATTGGTTTCTTGTCTAGCTCATAATTTATAATTGAATTTGACATTGAAAGTAGGGCTGCAAACGAGCCGAGCAGAACTAAGTTTTGCAGGACTCGGGCTCTGCTCATTTGTTTATTGAGCTCAAGATTCTAGCTCGAGCTTGGTTCATTTGCAGTTCTATATGGAACCCTTGCATCTCAGTTTGGCAGCCAATCTTTGGAAACGTGGGCAGGGTTGTGATTCATTCACTTGTTTAATTAGAAAACAGATGTGTTTTATATCATGAGCTAACCACTTTATTTGGCAAACAGGAATAGTGCTGGGTTTGTATATTTGCGATTTGAAAATACACAATCTGCAATAAGTGCGCAGCGTGCTCTCCATGGAAGATGGTTTGCTGGAAAGATGATCACAGCAACATTCATGGTAAAACAAATGTCACTTCTGTTTTTTTTTTCTTGTTTCCCCATTTTTCACCGAAAATGTATAAAACAAATGTCATTGATGACCATGCAGCTACCCCAGAATTATGAGGCCACATTTCCCGACAGCAGATAGGATGGTGGATTGTGGATGTGAACCAACTATTTCCAGTAGGTCTATATGCTGACATGGCTTTGTCGCATTGATCCAGTTTTGAATGGTGCAGGTGGCGAACCTTGTGTGACCCAAAGTTGCTGCAACAAATATGACTGCTGAGTGCTGATGATGACATGCAGAAATTGTTGGCGAAAAAAAAAAGATAGAAAGAAATCATAAAATTGCATGAAGCACACTAGGAATCAGATTACTAAAAAATACTGACCACTTGTTAGGATCATATCTGCATAAATTTACTTTTTGTATGTCTGTTGTTTCCCCCCACGTCTACAGTGAAAATTGTGGAGTAATTGTTTGTTAACCTCTTTCCTCCTGTTTTCTGGTACATAAAACTTATTTTGTGTTGTGGGTTAGGATGAGTATTTTGTTTCCAACACTCTCTCTTTTGATTAGTTAGATGGAAGCAATGAATTATATGCTCAGCTATTAATAATATGTTTTAGATTGAAGCATGGAAGCATGAATTATATTACTTTCAGATAATGCAAGCACTTGTACTTTCCTGTGAATTGTATCTATGCTTCAATGTCATTAGGGTATTGGCCTTTGAGACATCCTATGTGATTGTTTCTTGTTTTTGTGCTTTTTCATCAAGTGTTGTTTACAAGGAAGTGCCCACCTTTTTACATTTTCTAATGGGTAAGTTTTATTTTGCATCTTGTACTTCACCTGAAATTTCATTTTAATGGTTGTAATTTTTATTTAATGCAAGCGACCTCAAATGTTTTATTAACATTTTATCTAAATGTCTCACATGGGTATGAGAGTTATATGAGACTCACATGGTGTGAGTGTCATATTCATGTGAGACATTTAATAGAAATATTAATAGAAATATCTGTAAAATATTTAGGGTTCTTAACTTGGCTCTTCTTATTTTGTGATGGTAAAATTTTTATAATTTTGTTCAAGTTTCAATGTGATTGTCGTGTAAGACTTCAAAAATTGATTTATTAAATCAAGTCAGATGAACTTAAATGCAAATTTAGAGGACAAAAGTTATAGGAAATCAGTTTATATGTGAATTTAATATATTAAAAAATTAATTGAAGATTAAGAAAACCCAATTAAAGAAATTGGTTCCAAACAACCCTAAAAACTCATTTAGTCAAACGTGGCAGGTAGAATGTTTATATCAAGAGAAAAAGTATATGTATATATGTCTATTTTTGGATTAATTTTTTAAATTCATTCATGTGTCGGAAAATTAATTGATTAATGATACATCAATAGATTCAAAAAGTGGGCCCAATTTTTAGACCTGATTAGCATACGTATGAAAAAAAAGAAAAGAAAAGGGAACATGGTGTCATCTATTGCTAGGAAACATTTAAATATACCTTAATTTCTTTTGGCTAATAATTGTCTTAAAAAGTTCATCATAAAAAAAATAAAGTAACAAAATTCACACTTGAATTTTCACTTCTTGAAGTAAACTATTAACATCATTATCATAAAAATTATGTGTTGGTAAAAAAGTACCAAAAAATAGAGAATATTTTATTGTAAAAATATAAAATAAAAAAATTAAGGGTAATTATTTAGTAACAACTTTTTACAAGTGGCACCGTGTGTGGACGTATAATAATTTTTTAAATCTAAAATTGAGATACAATTGTAAATGAATATAATGTTTTTTAATTTTTCTTTCTTTATTCAGTGTGAGACTCCATACTCTGACACTACATGTCAATACTCATTTGTTTGTAAATATTCTCATTCATGCACCGTGTAAAAAAGTTTCAAATAAATAAATAATTTTATTGCAAAAATATAAAGAAATTAAGGAATAATTATTTAGTAGCAAATTTTTTTACAAGTGGCATCACACAAGTAATAATTTTTTTAAAAATTAAAATTGAGATATAACGGTAGATGAATATAAATCTCTTCAAAATTTCTCTCTTTTATTCAACATAAGACTCTTTTTTTTAACAATTCAACATAAGACTCTTTGTAGTTTCAATCACACTACAAATCTGACAATATTTTTATTGATGCGTATTCTATTCATGCACCACCACTGTGTAAAAAGTTTCAAATAAATAAATAAATAATTTTATATTAAAACACACCTACCCAAACATAATGTAATATGAAATATCGTTGTCCTATGTGGCCCACGAGGCTGGCTGCTATTAACCAGCCTGCTCGCTGTGTGATTACTGTCTTAAATTTTTAATCTGTCATTCGTATGTGATATTAATAGATTGAAAAAAATTAATTTATATTCATTTGTTAGATTGACGGTTATAAATTAGAGGATAGATGTAAATCAGTTTAGTGGTTTTAATTTTTATAAATTTTAAACATAATATAACTTATTAACTTTTTTTTTTTTTAAATAACAATCTAACTCACATAACCAAAAGATTATCAAGTAAATTGTTAAATATTAATAATAAACACATATAAGACATTTTAAAATATTTAGGTGGCGACTCTGTATCTGGCAAAGCAGTCCATGTTTGGCACTACTTTTTCAAAAATCTGTTTCTCAAAACGATTTGCCAGATTTGGACTCTTTGGTTCAGATTAAGAACCGTGACACAAATCGAGTCCGAACTGTAGCATGAGGCCCCTCCGCGGGCGCGTCTACACTTTGCAAACGTGCAAAGTACTGAGAGTTTCCAAATCCCGCTCGAGTGCAAAAAAGGCCACACAAGCAGAGGACTAAAATTCTAGGCAGCACAAGGTTTGTAAACTAAGTAACCAACCTATTCCAAACACACTCAAAATGCCCAAATAACCAAATTTAAGGAGGAATAAAGAGGAAAAGACAATAAGCAACATTCAAAAACCATAAACCCGAGTCCGGACTACCACAAGTGTTGGGTCAAAACTGGGATCGTTATACAGAGGCTTAGTTGACAAGTCTAAACATGTTGTGACAAAAATAAATTTTAATATATTTACCTTTCTATTTGTATTTTTGTGTCAAAATTTTTAAAATGATATAACTTAACTACATAAATTCATTTAATAAATATCAATAAGGCAAATTACAAAAAAGAAAAAAAACAAATCCAAAATAACATAATTTTAATATAGATTTTTTTACCAAAATAACATAATTTTTTTTTATATGTGAACGCATCTTAATTAGTTCTATTTTATAAAATTACACATCCACAATTCAATGATAAATTTGCTTACCTAAAAAATAAAGTCTCATTCTCAATTTAATAAAAAATTTACGTACTTACCTATACGGTCGGCATAACTCTTTTGGCGACTCTGGGTCGTAACCAACCTCTTACGAATAAGTGCTATTTTCTCTGTCGTTTCCCACACCAACTCCGGGCCCAACAAAGGTGCATCACCCACCTCGGCCCAACACACTGGAGATCTACACGGTCGGCCGTACAAGGCCTCAAACAGTGCCATGCCAATACTTGATTGGAAATTGTTATTGTAGGCAAACTCCACTAGTGGTAGGTGTCTCTCCCATGACCCCTTAAAGTCAAGGACACAGCCTCGAAGCATATCCTCAAGGATCTGAATGGTGCGCTCGGACTGCCCGTCAATCTGAGGATGGTAAGCCATGCTAAAGGTCAATCAAGTGCCCAAGGCACTCTACAAACTCTGCCACAACCTAGCAGTAAAACGTGGATCTCTATCTGAGACAATCAACATTGGGACCCTGTGCAACCTCACTATGTCCCGAATATACAATTCAGCAAGGTAATCTACCGAATCTTTTACGCGCATAGGAATAAAATACGCCGACTTAGTCAGCCGATCAACTACCACCCATATGGCATCACTACCCCGTTGAGTCCTTGGAAGACCCATGACAAAATCCATCGTGACGTGCTCTCATTTCCACTCGGCTATAGGCAAGGGTTGCAACAAGCCCATTAGCCTCTGATGCTCGGCCTTCACTTGCTAACAAGGAAGGCATTTTGACACAAACACCGCCACATCCTTTTTCATACCCCTCCACCAAAAATGGCGACTCAGATCATGATACATCTTTGTGCCTCCCGGATGCACTGCAAGGCGTGAATGGTGAAACTTTCAAAGTACTTCCTCTCGACAAGACTCTGGCATAGACAAGCGGTCTCGGTACATCACACTCAGGTCGGGATACACAGTCAAACCCTTCTCTACCTTCCCACTAGAGATCTTCTCCCGGAGGGATTCTACCTCAAATTCACCCTTTTGTGCCTCTACCACTCAGTTCACAAGTGTAGGTTGTGTCACTATAGAAAACAAAGCCGCAGATTCAACAGACTCACCCAGGTGCAAGTCAAACTCGCCAAGAGTACCCAACATCCCCCATTCTCGAATAGCAATACAAGCTACATCACTAATGGACTTCCTACTTAGGGCATCGGCTACAACATTGGCCTTTCCTGGATGATAATACAACTCGAAGTCATAATCTTCTATCAACTCCATCAATCTTCTTTGCCTCAAATTTAAGTCTTTATGTGTAAACAAATACTTCAGACTCTTATAATCCGAAAATACTTCAAACCTCTCACCATACAGATAGTGCCTCCAAATCTTCAAGGCAAATATCACAGCTGTTAACTCTAGGTCGTGAGTAGGATAATATATCTCGTGTGTTTTCAATTGACGCGAGCCATAAGCTACTACTTTTCCCTACTGCATCAACACACAACCCAAACCTTCTTATGAGGCATCACAGTACAACGAATAGCCTAAACCCCTCTTCGGAATAATCAAGACTGGAGCGATGGTAAGTCTAACTTTAAGTTCTTGGAACGACCTTTCACAAGTCTCACTCCACACAAATTTGACCCATTTCCGCATCAATCTAGTCAAAGGCGAAGCTAGTCTGGAGAAATCTTTCACAAACCGACGGTAATACCCGACCAATCCCAGAAAACTATGGATCTCAAAGGCATTCTTAGGTTCTGCCCAATCTTGCACTGCCTCAATTTTGGATAAATCTACAAAGACCCCTTCCCCGGATACTACATGACCTAAGAACTTAACATCCTTCAGCAAAAACTCACACTTCCGAAACTTAGCATATAACTTATGGGCTCTAAGCAATTCAAGCACCACTCACAAGTATCCCTCGTGCTTCTCCTCAGAAGGTGAATAAATCAGAATGTCGTCCACAAAGACGACCACGAAGCGATCTAAGAACTATCAGAAAATCCAGTTCATCAAGTCCATGAACACAGCCGGTGCATTGGTAAGCCCAAAAGGCATCACCAGAAACTCATAATGGCCATATCGCGTACGGAATGTCATCTTTGGAATATCCTCCTCCCTGACCCTTAACTGATGGTAACCCGATCTCAAGTCTATCTTTGATAAACAACGAGTTCCTTTCAACTGATCAAACATATCATCTATATGAGGCATAGGGTACTTATTCTTAACCGTAACCCGGTTCAACTTTCGATAATCAATGCAAACTCTCAAAGCCCCATCTTTCTTTTTAGGAAAAAGGGTCGATGCTCCCCACAGCGAGGTACTAGGGCGAATAAAACCCTTATCTAGAAACTCCTGGAGTTGAATCTTCAAC